GAGTCACAGATCTGAACTCTTTTCAGTGACAGAGGTAAAGAATAGTCTGCTGCACATTTTCAGCTTCATAGTATAGTATGTGCGGCTCAATAAAATGATACCCCCACCAGAAATTGGGGAACAGCAATAGGATACAATGGAATTTACATTTTCAGAATGATGCCTGGGGCAATTTGATCCACCTGCTATCAACATTAAAATGCATAATTTAACTGTATTTTGACCATTTTTTTCAAAGTCTGAATTTAAACCAACTAAAGTAGTGTAGAAATGAGGCCAGGGCGGTTAAAAAATCACAATTTATAAATTTCTAGTTCTTCACATTCTTTCTATTCTATAGTCTTAACATGATAAGGTGGTTGTTTTGTATTTATTTTTTAAATTTTCTAATTGCTAGTAAAATTTCAGCAGCTACATAGAGATTTTTCTCTGCTATGAAGTTCCACACCATGAAAATCTCACCTGCATGTGTCTAAATGCAAACTTAACTTTAGGCTCTTATTTTAAAAGAAATTTAGCTTGTGTTTATAACATGGTTAGTTAAAACTGAAACAATTTTGTTTTGGAATGAAAAAGATTTTATGCCATTTAGAGAGACGTTTAATTAAAAAATACAGTGCTAGCCCCTGATGCTGCAAACCCTCATGCTTAACTTTAGGAACAGGAGTAGTCCCCACTGAAGTTAATAGGACTATTCATGTGAGTATAGTTACGCAACTGCTTAAGTGTTTGCAGGATCAGAGTCTTACATTTACAGAACTGCTACTGCAAAGTAGTGAAAATTCAAATAAGATACCCTACAGACATTGGGATTTTAAAGACCCATTTAAAAATTTAGGATATATTTTTAGCTTAATGTTGTAAGAGCACAAGTTTTCAAATTAGTTTTGCAAAGCCTCCACCTGATTTAGACTGATGATATTTTAAAATCAAGTGATTTAGATAATTGATGTAAATTGCTTTATTTAAAGTAGCTTCACGCTGGTTAAAACTGAAGCTTTCTTCATACCATGCATGAATGCATACAAGTATTGTTTAAAAAAGATCCTATTTGTCTTTTACGCATTTGGTTGGGATAATGCATTCACATTATGAACTGTAACCCCAGGCACAACAAGCTAAGTTAAGGTTACTGATCGTGTCAGAACAATTTACCTTCTTGCAAAGATTTGTCAAACACTTAACATCCTCCTTTCCTTATGGCATGTCCTCTGGAGCTCTGCGGCAACAAGTGATTTTACACTAACAGGTTTCAGAGGAACAGCCGTGTTAGTCTGTATTCGCAAAAAGAAAAGGAGTACTTGTGGCACCTTAGAGACTAACCAATTTATTTGAGCATGAGCTTTCGTGAGCTACAGCTCACTTCATCAGATGTTTACCGTGGAAACTGCAGCAGACTTTATATACACACAGAGAATATGAAACAATACCTCCTCCCACCCCACTGTCCTGCTGGTAATAGCTTATCTAAAGTGATCAACAGGTGGGCCATTTCCAGCACAAATCCAGGTTTTCTCACCCTCCACCCCCCACACAAATTTGTGTGGGGGTGGAGGGTGAGAAAACCTGGATTTGTGCTGGAAATGGCCCACCTGTTGATCACTTTAGATAAGCTATTACCAGCAGGACAGTGGGGTGGGAGGAGGTATTGTTTCATATTCTCTGTGTGTATATAAAGTCTGCTGCAGTTTCCACGGTAAACATCTGATGAAGTGAGCTGTAGCTCACGAAAGCTCATGCTCAAATAAATTGGTTAGTCTCTAAGGTGCCACAAGTACTCCTTTTCTTTTTACACTAACAGTTTTGCTAAATATTTGACACAAAAATATGACTACATAGCATCAACTAGCCTAAAAGTGGCAATTCTTCACAAAAGAACTTCAAAAAAACAGACTCCAGGGAGAGACTGCTGAATTGGAATTAATTTGCAAACTGGATACAATTAACTTAGGCTTGAATAAAGACTGGAGTGGATGTGTCATTACACAAAGTAAAACTATTTCTCCTTGTTTATTTCCCCTCCTACTGTTCTTGTAAAGTGCTGGAAATGGCCCACCTTGATTATCACTACAAAAAAGGTCCCCCACCCGCTGGTAATAGCTCACCTTTCCTGGTCACTCTTGTTACAGTCTGTATGGTAACACAGATTTTATATACACAGAGAACATGAAACAATCTCCCCACTGTATTTTCCACTGTATGCATCCGATGAAGTGAGCTGTAGCTCACGAAAGCTTATGCTCCAATAAATTTGTTAGTTTCTAAGGTGCCACAAGCCCTCCTTTTCTTTTTGCGAATACAGGCTAACACAGCTGCTACTCTGAAACCTAGCCTTCTTTGGAGTGTGGCAAAAAAATACCATCCTTGCAAAAAGTAATTAAATAACAAATTGCGCAAAGTAAGTTACTATTTGTATCATATATCCTTATATCACATTAGATCTTAGCCAATAGAGTTTACATAACTTCTTATTGGATAAAGTAGTTTTAGCCTCTGTCGCTGCATTTCTCCAAATAATGCATCAGAATCCTAGCATTCAACCTATTGTTTTTAAATATTCTGTGCAAAAAATTGGGCAAAAGTTTCAAGGCTTAAAGTCTGCTAATAAGAATACTAAAACCAAAGGGAAATTGTCAGCAAAGTTTGTTTGTTTACCTTGGTGTTTCCCATAGTATAGTAATTGTGCTGATACCCACTAGAAAGTTAGCATTGAGTTAACTGTTGCTCTGACTTAAAGTACCTCCTCTTTCTTTCCTAAAATGGAAGCTTTTTTCGAGCTCTGACAGTGCCAAAACTCTCAGTTTTCAGAGTAGCAGCCGTGTTAGTCTGTATTCGCAAAAAGAAAAGGAGTACTTGTGGCACCTTAGAGACTAACCAATTTATTTGAGCATAAGCTTTCGTGAGCTACAGCTCACTTCATCGGATGCATAAAAGTGGAAAATGCAGTGAGGATATTTTTATACACACAGACCATGAAAAAATGGGTGTTTATCACTTCAAAAGGTTTTCTCTCCCCCCCCCCACCCCACTCTCCTGCTGGTAATAGCTTATCTAAAGTGATCACTCTCCTTACAGTGTGTATGATAATCAAGGTGGGCCATTTCCATCATACACACTGTAAGGAGAGTGATCACTTTAGATAAGCTATTACCAGCAGGAGAGTGGGGTGGGGGGGGGGGGGAGAGAAAACCTTTTGAAGTGATAAACACCCATTTTTTCATGGTCTGTGTGTATAAAAATATCCTCACTGCATTTTCCACTTTTATGCATCCGATGAAGTGAGCTCTAGCTCACGAAAGCTTATGCTCAAATAAATTGGTTAGTCTCTAAGGTGCCACAAGTACTCCTTTTCTTTTTGTGAAAACTCTCAGTGGCATTCAAGAAAAGCCCCCTCCTCCTACAAACAAACTAATAAAAACAGAGCAAAATAGAGCAACTGATTTGGTACATATAATATATAAAGTGAGAGGTGAAAAAAGTAAACAATTTCATACGGTACAAGTAAGATCATGAAGCTTAGCAATTATGGTGTTTATTTTAAAGGACATCATCACCTCCTCTGTAAGTGACCACATTACCCCTTATGTATCTATGGCTCAACTGGCAAATGTGAAGAGGACCACTCTGTGCAGATCTAGTGGAGGAATGATGTGCACTTGAGGCATCCCACCTCCTCTGAAAGATGGCAGCTGGACACACCACGCTGTTAGGGTGGGGCAGGAAGGCAGCTAAGGATTCCCAGCATGTATGTAACATTTCTCCTCCCCAGGCTAGCAATACATAAAGAGACAACTCCCAGATCCTTTCAGTTCTCCCAAACCAGACAGTAAGCAGGACAACCGGTCCCACATAATATACCTGGTTTATTTCCCTGTCTCAGCCCTGTGGTAAACCCCACCGCCCTCTGCCTCATTTCCAGTAGCGCCATGTTCAGTGTCCACAGTTAAGGCGATTTCCTCACAATCACTGCAGATCCGTTTCCCCAGGGATTAAATTCAACCGCAAAAAGAGGAGACGCCAACTAAAACGTGGCACGCCCCTCCTGCTCGCAGAAAAGGAAGGCTTTTCCCCCCCATCCGGCTGCCTCTATCCGAGGACTTCTCGGTGGCTGTCGCTGGGGGAGCCGAGGCAGACCACCAGGCTCACCCCACCTAGGGAGGCAGCGCTGCGGTGGGGGACCAGCCATTTGTGGACCCAGGGCGCGCACCCGTGCCCGGAGCTCCCGACCCCAGCGACACCTCCCGCCGCTTGGCGCGCCCGCCTCCCGCTCTTCGCCCGCTCTCGCCCAGCCGGGGCCAGCGCGAGGGGTCCCGGGGCGCGCCCCGCTGTATGGCCTCAGGGGAGCCCCGGGCACTGCCCCGCCTGCGATACGACCCCGCCTTCAGAGCCACGCAGATCTCCCGCCTGGGCGCCCCACCAGCCTCCTGCCCGCTCCCAATACAGCCCCTCCTTTCTTCCGCCTATGCTGGCAGCGTAACAAAAGGCAGCGCTGGGTGGGGGAACAGAGCCCCACAGGAAAACCCCCCGCCACGGATCCCCGGCGGGGCAAAGGGAAAGAAGGGCCAGTTGCACGGCAGGCAGCCACCCACCCTCTCGCCCCAGCGTCTGCTCCACCTTCTTACCTCTCACGTGAAGCAGGAGAAAAGCCAGAGACACTAGGAGGGTGAGTCTCCCCCGCTGCATGATCCGCTGCTGCCGCTCCAGGGACTAAGGTGCAAACTTTCCCCGCAGGTTTCCCTCCCACGCACCCACCTTCTCTCTCAAAACTTTCTTTCCAAGAAGCCACTAGCTCCACTCCCGGCAGGAGCGGGTCACGGGTGCGCCGCAGGCAGCAGCAGCCGCCGCCACAGCCCTCCCCGCGCACAGGAGCCTGCTGCGCAAACAGCAATTCCAGCGCGAGCCCCGCAGCCAAAAAAGGCATGGGGTTGCCCGCTCTCTCCAAGACTCCTACCTCCCAGGGGCAGGCAGCCAATCCGAAGGGAGAGCTGGCCCCAGACAGCCAATGAGACGAAGGGGCAGCCAACCCGCTCCCCCCTCCCCCCCACAGCTGGCAGGGAGAAGAGACAGTGCGAGCCTGCTAGGGCATGCCACGCCCTAGGTCACGGGAGGCGAGCGGGTGCGGTGCGGTGGAGCAGGGCTCGCCCTGCAGATGGGGAGAGGCTGTCCCCGAGCTGCGGAAAATTGCTTGGGAGTGCAGCCGGCACGTTAGGCTGCTAACGGGCACGGGGAGGGTTTGCAGTGGAAGGGCAGGAAGGTTGTCAGAGTGCAGATCTGTGCCAGAAACTGGTGCAGAGAGAGAGAGAGCGAGCGATGACTCAACGCAATAGGAGCCAAAAGCTGTTTTTCCCCTTGCTGTCTAGCAAAAGCGGCAGCAGGGAGCTCTTTTCTGGACCTGCAAAGAAACTGACTTCCTCCTTGGATTGTATGCAGTGTAGTTGTAGCCAGGTAGGTCCCAGGATACTAAAAGACAACATGGGTGAGGCAATATCTTTTAGAGGAACAGCCGTGTTAGTCTGTATTCGCAAAAAGAAAAGGAGTACTTGTGGCACCTTAGAGACTAACCAATTTATTTGAGCATGAGCTTTCCTGAGCTACAGCTCACCCACGGTATGCATCTGATGAAGTGAGCTGTAGCTCACGAAAGCTCATGCTCAAATAAATTGGTTAGTCTCTAAGGTGCCACAAGTACTCCTTTTCTTTTTGCAATATCTTTTATTCGTCCAATAAAATATATTATCTCTCTAATCTTTCCCAGTTTCAGATGACTCTGCTAGGTATAAGTTTCTTGCCTCCAGAAAGTGAATTGGCAGGGATTGGCCTCTTTCAGGGTTAGCATGTTATGGAAAACTCCTTTCCTTTTGTCTCCATACCTGTTGAAAAGAGAGAGGATCTCTTGAATCCCAGGTGTTGTAGGAAGTGGAAGGGGAGAGGGGTCAAAAGCCAGATTCAGATTTCATGCTTGGGGCCTGTCCCTGGGGATGGGTGGAATCCAACTATGAAAAGCACTCAGACTTTTATGAGGGAGGATGTTGGACATCTGGACGTGTGTTTTGCAGCTCTAAAACCTCTCACTAGCATCTAACTCTCACAGGCCTAACTGCAAACATGGGAGATATTTAAAATAAGTCCCAAAAGGAGCTGAACTAGATGAATTAAATCCTCTCTCAGGCTTTGATAGTTGAATGCAGGGTCTGCTAGGCTAGATCGCACCTTCATCCAGCCACATTTTCTTTCTGCACTTATTGAAAAAGGTTATCTAAAATTAAACATATGTTAAGAAGCCTGCCAATCTTGCCTGCAGATGGCTAGCTGCTCCTTTGCTTGGACATCAGAAACTCTCCTTGATGTTGCAGAGAATTTGGGATGCACAAGCAATGCAAGATTGGACTTCTGACTAAATTAAAATTCTCTTGTGCAACATGTCACAGTATTTAAGTGCCGTATTTAGTTTTTATGTGAATTATTCAGATATGGGAGGACTGTTTACAAATATAAGACTTTTTTATTTAAACACAGCTAAATAACCCATATTTCTTCGTGAAAGTTACAATTTAGAGGTATTACATCTTTGCCACAAAGGATATCGTCCTTTATGTCTGCCTGCTTCCCCAGATATTATACAATATTAAAAGCCTATCCTGTAATCTGCACTGCCATATACCAGTAATCCCACTCATCACTTGCAGGACTGAACCCTTGTACTGTACTGAACCATACCTCTCTCCCTGGGGACTAGGTAGAGCTAAAGAACAATATGAAGGTCTTTTTGCCAAAATACATACAAAAATAATTATATCAAGATAAATAAATATGATACATATCAATATATAAAGATTACATTCAAATAAGAACATAAGAACAGCCATACTGGGTCAGACCAAAGGTCCATCTAGCTCAGTATCCTGTTTTCTGACAGTGGTCAATGCCAGGTGCCCCAGAAGGAATGAACAGAACAGGTAATCATCAAGTGCTCCATCCCCTGTCACCCAGGCCCAGCTTCTGGCAAACAGCAGCTAGGGACACCATCCCTGCCCATCCTGGCTAATTGTCATTGATGGACCTAACCTCCATGAACTTATTTAGTTCTTTTTTGAACCCTGTTACAGTCTTGGCCTTCACAACATCCTCTGGCAAAGAGTTCCACAGGTTGACTGTGCGTTGTGTGGAAAAAATACTTCCTTTTGTTTGTTTTAAACCTGCTGCTTATTAATTTCATTTGGTACCTTCTAGTTCTTGTGTTATGACAAATAGTAAATAACACTTCCTTATTTACTTTCTTCACACCAGTCATGATTTTATAGACCTCTATCATATCCCCTTTAGTCGTCTTTTTTCCAAGCTGAAAAGTCCCAGTCTCATTACTCTCTCCTCATATGGCAGCTGTTCCATACTCCTAATCATTTTTGTTGCCCTTTTCTGAACCTTTTCCAATTCCAATATATCTTTTTTGAGATGAGGCAACCACATCTACCCGCAGTATTCAAGATGTGGGCATACCATGGCTTTATATAGAGGCAATAAGATATTTTCAGTCTTCTTATCTATCCCTTTCTTAATGATTCCCAACATTCTGCTTGCTTTGTTGACTGCTGCTGCACGTTGAGTGGATGTTTTCAGAGAACTATTCACAATGGCTCCAAGAGCTCTTTCTTGAGTGGTAACAGCTAATTTAGACCCCCATCATTTCATATGTATAGTCGGGATTATGTTTTCCAATGTGCGTTATTTTGCATTTATCAACATTAAATTTCTTCTGCCATTTTGTTGCCCAGTCACTCAGTGTTGTGCGATCATTTTGTAGCTCTTTGCAGTCTGCTTGGGACTTAACTATTTTGAGTAGTTTTGTATCATCTGCAAATTTTGTCACCGCACTGTTTAACCCTTTTTTCCGGATTATTTATTAATATGTTGAATAGGACGGGTCCCAGTACAGACCTCTGGGGAACACCACAATTTACCTCTCTCCATTCTGAAAACTGACCATTTATTTCTACCCTTTTTTCCCTATCTTTTAACCAGTTACCAATCCATGAGAGAACCTTCTCTCTTATCCCATGATAACTTACTTTGCTTAAGAGCCTTTGGTGAGGGACCTTGTCAAAGGCTTTCTGAAAATCTAAGTACATAATATATCCACTGAATCCCTCTTGTCCACATGCTTATTGACCACCTCAAAGAATTCCAGTTAATTGGTGAGGCATGATTTTCCTTTACAAAAAACATGTTGACTCTTCCCCAACAAATTATGTTCATCTATGTGTCTTTACTATAGTTTCAACCAGTTTGCCTGGTACTGAAGTCAGGCTTTCTGGACTGTAATTGCCGGGATCCCCTCTGGAGCCCTTTTTAAAAAATGGTGTCAGCTATCTTCCAGTCATTTGGTACAGAAGCTGATTTAAATGATAGGTTACAGACTACAGTTAGTAGTTCTGCATTTTTACATATGAGTTCCTTCAGAACTCTTGGGTGAATACCATCTGGTCCTGGTGACTTGCTACCATTTAGTTTATCAATATGTTCCAAAACCTCCTCTAATGACACTTCAATCTGAGACAGTTCCTCAGATTTGTCTCCGAAAAAGAATGGCTCAGGTTTGGGAATCTCCCTCACATCCTCAACCCTGAAGAGCAATGCAAAGAATTTGTTTACTTTCTCCACAATGGCCTTATCGTCCTTGAGTGCTCCTCAGTCTGGGACAGTTCCTCAGATTTGTCACCTAAATAGTACCTTGAATTGGGAAGTATCTTCACCATCACTAAAATGATGCCACTTTTGGGGTGGAACTTGCACCAGCTTAATGATACACAGCAACATTATACAATAGTTTGAGAGAGGGAGTGAATACTTTCTCCAAATGAAATTATATTCTGCCCCTTATATTTTCCTTGTAGTTTATCAAATTAGAATTTGGCCAGGCAACAGACTCTTATAATATTAATTCAAGTACTCAGGAGCTTAGTTTTAAGTCTCAGCAGAATAATGCATCTCCCGCAGCACAGTGCCCATCACCAATATGCTAGTACATAACTTAATACTGATTCAGTGGGAAGAGTACCTTCTAAGGAATCAAAATCATCACCCACTCCATAAGCTGTCCGATTCCCCATCCGTAACCCCGTTTCGTGTCCATTAGCCAAATACTTATCAGACCCACCTTGTTTAACTGATGAAAGCAGAGAGAGGAGCTTATCTGCTAACAGAGTTTGGCTACAGTCTATTAAATGGCTCTTGAAGTACATCAAATACACATAATACATGAAAATAATGCCCATATATGGTTTTACATCAAATGATCAAAAGGATTAATCCTTCCTTAACAACAACAACAAAAAGCCCAGAAAGCTGAATTTTGAAGAAGAAATATTGTAAATTACCTGTTTTCATCAAGGGAAAGATGCCTAAACAGCAGAAGATGTCTCTTTCAACTATTAACAGTCTTATCAAGTTAATTTAAAGAATGTTTAAAAGCTTTCTTTGCTCTAGACACCAAGGCCTAGAAGATGAGATGAATCAATTACAAATAAGCACATTCACACTATGATCCAAAACAGAGCTACGGAGTGCTTAGCAAAAATACTTACAGCGCATACATACCAAATTATTCATGTTGCATATCAAAGCAAATATTTTGCTTAATGGGATGTTTTTTCATAGCCATTATTAACCACTGGTCATTCAAAGAAACTTCTCAACTGACAAAATAATTGTTTAACAGCAATTTCAGTGCACTACACCGTAAAAAAGTATTTATGATATCCCCAATGAATGATGTTTTATGGTAAGATAGCATTTTAAGCATTTGATTATTTAATTTAGGACTGATTTCTTGGTTGTCTAATTGATAGGAGAAAATGAATCTAGTTTACTACTGGAAAAATGTAGGAGTTGCCATACTACATCAGATCCAGTATTCTAATTCTAAGAGAGGACAGTATCAGAGGAAGTGCAATCTTCAGAGAAGGTGAAAGTAACCTTGCGTTAGGCAGATGTGGAATAACCAGCCTTCACACTAGGTCTTCTCATAATCCTGGATAGCGATGAGTTTAAATTTTGAAGCATGAGGTTTAATATCTGTTACAGAATTTATGTTAGCATTAATTATAACTGGATATTCTTGTTATGCATATAAATGTCCAATCCCTTTCTGAATCTTACTAAATTGGCCTCAATGACATCCAGTGCCAATGTGTTCCACTGTCTAATTATGCATTGTGTGAAAATGTATTTTATCAGGTTTGAATTTTCCACTTTTTAGTTTCACTTAATGTCCCATTGTTCTTGTCTTAAAACAGGTAGAATAGACATGCCTGATCTACCTTCTCTAGACCATTCATTATTTTATATACTTTCATCACATTCTCTTATTTGTCTCCTTTCTAAAGATAAACAACCCCAATTTTTTCAATCTTTTTTCATATGTAAGTTTTTCATTGTTGTCACCCATCTCTGAACCCTTCTGCAATATCCTTTTTGACATAGGGTGACTCGGTGATCAATACTGCACATGCTATTCTAGATGAGGCCACATGATTTAGAATTACCAGGTGTACCATATCTGGAATCTTCTGAATGGAAAGAATACAGGTGAAACATTGACTTTCCATGTAATTCAAACAGGCTTAGAAGGAACGGTTAATACTTTAACTTGTGTGTTGTTCCCATGGAACAAGATGGAAGGTGAGCAGGGCTTGAAGAGACCTATTCCAGAGAGGGAAGAAGGCAACTTTTACAGGTAGCCATGAGCTGCTGAGATGAAGGCTCATTCTCCCCAGTTTCCTCCTATTATAGCTCTTCTGAAGTACATGTGATCAGCTACACTCGTTTCCTGTCTCCACTCAGCTTAACCTTGTGCCCTCTCATTTCCACATACCTTGTGTATTTAAGTCTTCCCAGAAGCAGTAAGGCTCTATCGATGCTCCTCAAAGCTGGCTCCTTACACAGACAGTGGAAAGACAAATATTTATTTTTTTCTCTGCAAGCAACATCTTAGTAGAGCAGTTGGGACTTTACCTGTCTGTTCCCTAATGCTGTCCCTAGGGGATCAGGGGAGCGCCAGCAGCCCCTGCCTCCAGCAAATGATATAGGAGCTAGAGCCAGACATTGAAAAAAAATTGTTATTCAACTCAGTGAAAAGGATAGACCATAAAAATTATTCTTCCTTCAGTCTATGCACTCAGTTCCTGTGAATGTTAATGGGAGCTGCATACTTATATAGAGAGGAGATCAGAGCCCTTTGATTAATTCAAAATGGAGATAATTTCCTAGACCTTGACATAATGAGGTCTGGAAAATATGATCCAGAAACTGTTGTTCCTTAAGTTATTTGAATGTGCCATTAATGGCACATTTCTTCCAGCAGAGTCTGGTGATATGCATCTCTTGATGAATATTACTTGAAGGCACAAACTTTTGTTTATGCCAACCCCACCCATATCTAAGGAATACAACAATGTGTAGATATTATGAAATAGAGGCACCACCTCAAGGTGCATACTGAAAAAAATAGGTTGGAGGCAAAGTACCTCTCACATCTGCCCAATATCCGCATCACTTTTGTAGGTTTCAGAGCAGCTTTTGTACTTTATTCAACTACTAAAATGCATTTGAAAATGAAACAAAGTACTGGAGACACTAGTAGATCTACCACTATGAGAACATGAAAGTCAGATGAAACTGGAACTCTGTGTTTCTGCTCAGTCCTTGGCCTCTGTTGAAACTACTTCTGGCACAGATTCAGGCCTCTAATGATATTTATTCCTCTGTGCAACCAGGCTGTCGGGACTCCCATGTTTGTAGGTTACTGCAAGTAAATATTAAAATAAAGACAAAGTTGGACCACACTAATTTTCTCTTTATTTTTTAAATTTATTTATTTAGGAGTGGAGAGAAAGGGGATAGACCCAGATTCTGCATTTAGATCTGCTAGCAGAGACCCCTGTGCATGTGCAGAATCCTGTTGACTTCAGCAGGACTCTCCAGCAGTGGATCCAAATATTAGAGCCATGGAGTAGCTGCGACACTTCAATCAGTATATACACCCAGGATTTTTAAGGTCAGATCAGTAGCCTCTCCTTGAGGGCAGAACATAAAACATACATTGTAATATAACTTAATTGTAAACAATCCCCCTGCCTCGTTTTGGCGACAGAAAGATTGTGACAATTGTATTATCTTGTCAGACAAGTGTACTGTGGAAAAACCATTGTCAGTTCTAGGGGTGCATACAGAATGGATCCCGAGGCCAAATTTTGGACCGATTGTTCCACCTTTGCTAATGTCTTCTGTTGTGTGATTTCTCCTAGTGGTCTCTGCCTCATGACCTCAGACATATTAAGACACTACAGCTTAAGTGTAGTTTGCAAAGTAAGCAGATCTGATCTCTCTACAAAAGCCAAGTCTTTGTAACTTAGGAAGAATGTATGCACAAGAGTTATAGAAAACCTATGTGAATGCAGAATATCAAGCCTACAGAAAGTTTTTTACTGTTTCTCCCAATTGTTCCACTCCCCCAGGGGTAACAACAGCAGGAACACTATTGTACAGAAGGCATCAGTGTAGATAATACAATAGAAAAAACATGTGTGGCCACAGAAACCTTGTTTTCATTAGTTTTCCTACTGTTGCAGTATCTGTTCCTAAGGCTATGTCTATGCTAGGGAAAAAAGGTATATTTTAAAGTGCTGTTAGTTAATATGTTTTCTCCACTAGGATTTTAACACGTAAGCTAACATGTCTTTATAATACATCTTTCATCCTACTGTAGACATAACCTTAATGTTTGTCTCCTTTGTTATCTTCTTCACCTAAAGCTTTTTTTCCATGTTGTCCCTTGCACCAGGAATGTACTCTGATTCTGAACACCACAAAAATGTCTTCAAATTCCTTCTTGAGACCAAGTTTTTTACACAGCTTCATAAATGATCCCTGAGTTCCCTTTAAAAAAAGTGTAATCTTTTCTTCTGTATGTTGTCCTTTTATGATCCCATTGTATTGAGGTAAGTGACCTATCATTTAAAAACACCTAGAACACATCTAGGTGCACTATATACAATAGGAATTTTATTAAGTACTTAGTTCGATACTGCACTATGAATTACAGTGTTAATTACATGAAATAGGTTGCCAACACTTTTTTTTTTACAAGAAATATATCTCCATACCACAATGTCACTTTATCGGAAGGAAGAAGGCATTGTTCTTATATAAACTGCTATATAGTTGGCTTCCTATTTTATTGAACTGTAGTTTCCATGCTGTAAGTAATTTAAGCTGCTCTGAGCTATGTCTCTCTGAAAACAAAATACACTGGGCTAGATCCTCAGTGGATGCAAATTGCTGTAGCTCCATTGACAGCAAAGGGGCTATGGCGCTTTACACCAGTTTAAAATCGGTCCCTCTTTGGCTAAGATAAGAACGCCATGATGGCGTGATAATACGCTGCTCTCTTTTGCCCTCTGTTTTAGTACGTAACATGACCTCAAGAATTGTTTGTCAAAACACAGTACATATTTAAATAGTGATTCACTTGCTATTCCTACTTTCAGGGTATGATAAACTTCTGGGGATTACTAAAGTCAGGCGCTCAATTAAATTATTTCTTTACCATTCCAATTAAATTGCCAGTTGCTGTTGGCTCCTTTAATACCGAAGACAAGTAAATAAATAACAGAGGCAGAAAGATCTAGCATACCTCTATAAGGTGCGTCACCAGTCTTATTTTAGCATTCTCTGTTTTTGTGAGTTACTGTAATTCAATTTCCATTAATTCACTATAGGGATTTTGAAAGCTGCAGCCCATACATCCTACTCTGCTACAAAGTATTATTTTTAATATAATAAATCATTTCTATTTGAATGTAATTAAATATCTGAGAGTGACTAATATAAGACCAAGAAAGAATTTGGAGTTGCTTTTGTCTCTGGCAGGGTGCTCTTTCTTCAGTAACAAGGTATGTTCCCCCTTTTGCAAATCTGTAATGAGCACCAGAATTAGAAATATATAGTATAGCTATATAATAGAATTTTAACATACAACAAGTTGCTAATTTAACTTACTGTGCACGTGTCTCTTCTCTCCAACTCTGCTGTTAAATTATATTTTTCTTCTTCTTTCCTTCCTACTTAAACACTAACGTGTTGCTTTACACAGAATTTGAGTGTTGGCACCTGTCTGTGGTAAGGTGCCAAGACTCAAAGTCTATGTGAAAGTTGCAAGTGTTTAAGTAGAAAGGAAGGAAGAAGAAAAATAACCATCACCAGAGAGAGAAGCAGAGAACGCATTCTGTGAAAGAGAACCATCTAATTACATATTCTATCTGTTTAGGTACTTATTTGGCTCTGATCACCATAATATCAGAGCCACTCCTGACTGCTTAAAAATACGAGCAAGAATAACAATCTCTAACTTCTGTGCCAGCCTCTAAGAGAAATAACTTGATTTTTATAATTTCTGTGTGTGGAGAACTTACTGAGGGAAAACTGAGTCAGAGAGAAGAGTTCTGCATGTATTTCTGAGAATGGTGAAGCCCTTGCTCATTCTTAACTTTTCAGGGAGTGAGTTAGTCTCACTCTCTCTCTCTCTGCACCTCTCTTTACTGGTTGACATTGATTGATTTTGTGATTCACCTGACACACATGCTGCTTATGGGGTAAGATTTTTCAGAAGTGCCGAAGGCCCTTGACTTTCACTGGCACTTAGGTGTTATTGAAAATTTTCCTCGTCAGTTGTTTCTTTGTGGAGTTTTTGATTGATTGCTTGTTTTTTGTTTTTTAATCTTAATGTCCTAGGGTAAAGTTATCTGGAAATTCCTCATCTGTAAAAATTGGGCTACAGAAGTCTTAAATCTCCCACTGGTATCCACTCTTCCTGTGCAATCTCTGCATTTCATTACTAGCTTCCAAAGTCTCTTTTGAATCACACCACAGAGGAACTCTCCAGTAGATCATGCAATAAGCTAGCCTGAGGCCCACTTCAGCATGCTTCTCCAGATGTGTGGTGACAAGGAGATACAATATAATTTGAACTGCATGCAGAACATCTTGGTTTATGACCAGGGGTCTGAACGGTTGACCCAGTTAGGCATCCTAAGTACCAGAAAGTGGTGCTGAGAGAAGATACGAGGTGTCAAGGTGTTGTACCTAAGGCCTAGGCCACAAACAGTCACTCCAGTGCGGGGAGGAAGGCCTGATCTTTTTATAATGTCTAATGAGAGCCAGTTTTCAGTTCACGGGCATCCGGTCTTGATGGTGGCAATCTGTACCATATAGCAGAGAGAGCAGGAGGCAGAGGGCATTACCACTGAGTGCCTGATACAGAACTAGGATGCAGCTGAGATAATGACAAATGTCCCCAGATCTCTTCTCACAGATATGGTGAGGAATGAGTTGAGGAGGAGAAGAATTGGGGAGATATGGAGCTTTTTACTTAGGTCATGTTACTATTATTTTTACTGATTTTCTCTGTGTACTTAGAGGTGGGGGAACAAAGTGCCAGGTTTCCATGAATGGCACTGTTATTGTTAGATGGGCATTTGCAGCATCAAATGAGGGCAAAATCCCCTGCTCCTCCTTGTCTGCACTGCTGTAACAAAAAACAGTGGCCCCTTTCCCCTCAAATCCCCCACATAGCAACTCCTCCCTATGGTGCTCTGGCACAGGATACTAACAATATGTACTGGACTGCTGCACTATTGCCTCTTCTTTCCTGGTCAAGCCCACTGCATTCCCCCCATGCCCTAACGAGGAAGAGAACAGTAACCCAATCACAGTTCACTGCATAGCCTGGTAATGAGCCATGTTTTGGTCTCTGTGTGATTTTTTTGTAGTGCCTTGCTTCAGTCACTCCAGAGATGATTATATATTGCAGCTGGCCTGCACATTGTGTATTAAATAAAGTTGGTGTGCACCATTCATCTCTGTCAAGATGTCATTAGGCAAAATACTATTAACCTTCCAAACTCTGTCATATTTAATTCTTCTGTGTCATTGACTACTTCACTATCTCATAAACTTTCTCCCCAAAGTCATGTAAAATCAGATTATTACTTCATAAGAGACATACATAGATACTACTTAATATCAAACCTGTCATCTGCAAGTAATGTAAATCATAAGCATCAACAACCAATGGAAAAAAATTACAGTCTTCTGCATTCAGGGATCTCCCACATTGACACTCCCCTGCTTTTGCAAAGTAACTGTAAATAGGTGAGCACTACTGGTGCTGGCAGTATTTGGCCACTTGCAGCATCCTTACTCTGTATTCTATACTCTGTTAAATATTCCACCTTTGCTTCCACTAGTGTTCTGCAGAATACAACAAGCAGCTGTTGTGATACCGGCATTGAGAAGTGCACTGTCATTGCACATCAGATGGCATCTCTGTGACATTCTGTTCAGGACTCCCAGAATTGTAAACCACTGTGTTACCCCACTGCCTCAGCAAGAGTGAGCTTTGCTGGAGATTAGATTGTGTGTCAGCTCCCTGCCACCTCAGTCTGTCTGCTTCACCAGCAAACTCCTCGAGACTCTGCCAGTCTTGCCTTGCTGGTAACAGTCAATGAACCTGAATTCTGCAAACACATGTCTCTGCAGTGTCCAGTTCCCCTTCACAGGACACTCACAGAAATTAAGTTTGCTGCCTCCAAAGAGACAGAGCACACCCCAGCCTGTATTTTAGCTGAGGATTCACATTTTAATTCAACATAAAAGCACAGATGGTTCACAGTAAAGCTAAAAATAAGTTTATTAACAAAGTGACCATGAGATGGTCAAGTTCAGGATCCTGACAAAAGGAAGAAAGGTAAGCAGCAGAATACGGACCCTGGACTTCAGAAAAGTAGACTTTGACTCCTTCAGGGAACTGATTGGCAGGATCCCCTAGAAAGCTAATATGAGGGGGAAAGGAGTCCAGGAGAGCTGGCTGTATTTTCATAGAATCATAGAATCATAGAATATAAGGGTTGGAAGGGACCCCAGAAGGTCATCTAGTCCAACCCCCTGCTCAAAGCAGGACCAATTCCCAGTTAAATCATCCCAGCCAGGGCTTTGTCAAGCCTGACCTTAAAAACCTCTAAGGAAGGAGATTCTACCACCTCCCTAGGTAACGCATTCCAGTGTTTCACCACCCTCTTAGTGAAAAAGTTTTTCCTAATATCCAATCTAAACCTCCCCCACTGCAGCTTGAGACCATTACTCCTCGTTCTGTCATCTGATACCATTGAGAACAGTCTAGAGCCATCCTCTTTGGAACCCCCTTTCAGGTAGTTGAAAGCAGCTATCAAATCCCCCCTCATTCTTCTCTTCTGCAGGCTAAACAATCCCAGCTCCCTCAGCCTCTCCTCATAACTCATGTGTTCCAGCCCCCTAATCATTTTTGTTGCCCTTCGCTGGACTCTCTCCAATTTATCCACATCCTTCTTGAAGTGTGGGGCCCAAAACTGGACACAGTACTCCAGATGAGGCCTCACCAATGTCGAATAGAGGGGAACGATCACGTCCCTCGATCTGCTCACTATGCCCCTACTTATACATCCCAAAATGCCATTGGCCTTCTTGGCAACAAGGGCACACTGCTGACTCATATCCAGCTTCTCGTCCACTGTCACCCCTAGGTCCTTTTCCGCAGAACTGCTGCCTAGCCATTCGGTCCCTAGTCTGTAGCTGTGCATTGGGTTCTTCCGTCCTAAGTGCAGGACCCTGCACTTATCCTTATTGAACCTCATCAGATTTCTTTTGGCCCAATCCTCCAATTTGTCTAGGTCCTTCTGTATCCTATCCCTCCCCTCCAGCGTATCTACCACTCCTCCCAGTTTAGTATCATCCGCAAATTTGCTGAGAGTGCAATCCACACCATCCTCCAGATCATTTATGAAGATATTGAACAAAACCGGCCCCAGGACCGACCCTTGGGGCACTCCACTTGATACCGGCTGCCAACTAGACATGGAGCCATTGATAACTACCCGTTGAGCCCGACAATCTAGCCAACTTTCTA